TCTATATATATATATATATATATATATATATATATATAGGCCTATATATTACACATACACACACACACACATATATATATATATATATTTCGATCCTTCATACTGTCTACAATACATATTATATATATATTTTTTTAAATGTTCATTTTAAAACTGCATTCAAATGCTGTTATTAGCAGGTATTTTATTTCCAAGAAAATGATTAAACTGTCATAAAGTTTGCGTTGTCTACCAATACTATTTGCATAAGCTAAACATTGTTTACAATATAGGCCCTATTCGAAGCATCATTGAATCACCTCATTGCTAAAGACGCACTGCGAAAGGCAAAGAAAAATCCTTGCATCGAATTCAATACAACATAAATGTATTTCATCATCTTCCAGCCACAAAAAATGATAATGATCCCAAAAATCCACGAAATTCCAACAGCTGGTGCGAAGAGCAATATGCCGAGAGACACAATTCTGTATGAACAAAATACTGTAGAACACTTTCTTGACTTTCATAGAACGTGGTTACGAGCACTCCAGTAAACTTAAACTGTAGTCTAAACAATAATGGAGTGTCATTTTAACTTAGAACTAACCTATCAGAACATTTATTTACGTTTAGGTTATCGTTTTGTGGGACTTAACAACAATATCCAAGGATTAAGCTCAACGGAAATGCCCATTGAATGAGGAAGATATTATGTCATACCCAGTGGCGTAGAAAAATTACTCAGGGCCGGCGGAACGTTTTTTAAAGTGGGGGGGGGGGCCACTTATAAGATGAATGGGAATATGAATCATGCAGATCGGGAATCAAACCTAGGTGGTGGGGTCAACATTCCTCCCCCGGGAAAATTCAGATTTCTAGATGGCTGGAAATCATGACCTTTCTCGACTTTTGAGCTAGGTGTCTAATGACTTTGTTCTTCAAAATTCAAGGTTTTCCCCCTCTTGAAAACGGTTAGGTAAACTTTCTCATTACAGTAAATAGGCCTGTTATGTGTGTATACCTTAAGAAAATGAGTAGTTGCATACCGTATCGTATTCTTTTTTCAATGAATCGATAAGCTCCAAAGAAAAGGGGGGTCCATCCTAGTTGGCGGAAAATGAGCTTTTTCCCCGACTCCTGAGGTGTCTTAATTACTTTTAAGTTTTTCAAAATTCAAGGTTTTCCCCTCTTGAAAACGGTCAGGTAATTTGTTCCCATTGTTATAACAGTAAAGGCCTTATGTGTTTATACACACATAACATTTTGAAAAAAATGAGTAGTTGCATACGAATTTTCCATGAATCGATGAATCACAAAAAGAAAGTGGGGTCCGGGGGTCCTCCCCCGGGAAAATTTTGATTCCTAGAAGGCGGGAAATGAGCTTTCCCGACTTCTGGGGTGTCTTTTAATTACTTTTAAGTTCTCGATAAAGGTGTTAGCATTACACTTATAAATTTGTAATTGTTGTAATGATTATTAAATTCCGATCGGTTTTATCTTTTCCCAAAAAAAATCGATGAAGTATTTGCGAAGTTATTACAAAAAGAAGTTGAAAAATGACCAAATTTAGTGGTTTTATCGAATTTAGACACGAAATATTGTCGTAATGTTTTAATTACTTTTAAGTTCTTCAAAATTCAAGGTTTTTCCCTCTTTAAAACGGTCAGGTAATTTTTTACCATTTTTATTCAGTAAATAGGCCTTAAGTGTATACATACATAAAAATTTAAAAAAAATGAGTAGCTGCATCCGAATTTTCCATGAATCGATGAATCCAAAAAAGGAGGGGGGTCCGGAGGCGGGAAATGAGTTTTCCCGACTTCTGGGGTGTCTTTTAATTACTTTTAAGTTCTTCAAAATTCAAGGTCCTCTTGAAAACGGTCAGATAATTTTTTACCATTTTTATTCAGTAAATAGGCCTTAAGTGTATACATGCATAAACATTTAAAAAAAATGAGTAGTTGCATACGAATTTTCCATGAATCGATGAATCCCAAAAAGGAGGGGGTGGGGTTCTCCCCCGGGAAAATTTTGATTCCTAGAAGGCGAGAAATTAGTTTTCCCGACTTCCGAGGTGTCTTTTAATTACTTTCCCCTCTTGAAAACAGTCAGGTAAATTTTTCTCATTTTTTATTCTATATGTGTATTCATACATAAACAAATGAGTAGTTGCATGCGTATTCTATTTGCCATGAATCGGTAAATCCCAAAAAGAAAGGGTGGTCCAGGGGTTCTCCCCCTTGAAAATTTTGATTCCTAGATGGCGGGAAATGAGCTTTCCCGACATTTGAAGTGTGTTTTAATTACTTTTATGTTGTTCAAAATTCTAATTTTCTTAACGTAACAACAACAACAAAAAAAAAAAATAAAAAAAAATCAGCTCACGGGTCCTGGAAAGGTAGGTCTAGAATTCTTTTTCTTTTCCCCCTTTTTTTATTGTTGCCCAAGGGAGGGGTCAGGACCCATGAGCCCCCTCCCCCATATCCGCCAATGTGAATTGCGAGAAAATGTAACTCGGTCGGGTACTGGATAAACATTCTCTTTCCCATCCTTCTCCTCCTTCTTCCCTCCTTCTTTTCTTGCATTTCCGATCATACAAAAATCTCCAGACATTATTAGTTTCAAACACACGTGTGTGGCCTATATTATAAATAAGATAAGCCCTATGTCGTATTGTTTTCTATATGGGGAGTGGGGTGGGTATGGTAAATTACTAACCGGGAAAGTAAATACCCACTCTGACCCAAGACCCCTGTTACGCGCCTGGTGTTAGCGCCAATGTGTGCCCTTGTGCGGGCAGGGAATGTGCCCCCCTCTGAAGCTGGAAACCTTGTTTTTGCAAAATAAATTGATGCAATTTGCTATTATAGGCCTAATCAATAAATTCCTCATCAACGAATATAACCTTAAACATTCTTGGAATTTACATAACATTACTGATGTCGTACACACCCTTCAGTGTGAAATGTGGCTCTCTTTGCAAGCACATCTAAGGAAAGAAGAGCTTAGATTGGTACCAGATAAAATAATTTTGTTATCAACATTAATACATTTTATGCTAATTTTCATCTTTGTAAGCGCAAAAACAGTGAAAATTATTTCTGTGACAGTCTTTTGAAGTGTGTAAAGCTCCATTTTATCCCATACATAGTCAAAATATTTGGGGGATGATACAATAGACCATCCCCCCTTGTCAAATATTGGGGGGATATATCCCCCATCCCCCGGGATCTACGCCTATGTGTCATACACTTAATTGTAGCCTCGGAGGTTAATATAGGATACTACTACGTTACATAAGTTTTTCCTAATTCAAAAGATCATGTACCAAGGAGAAAAAAAACCACTTTGGATTAGCTCTTACAACGACTGACAGTGAACGAATGTAAAATAAGTGTTTCTGTTATATTACAGCTTTGATATTCTTTAGCTACAATGTATCATTATCTGTGACATATTGATGCGTGTTTCTAAAATTCTTAAAATATAATCTTTCCTTTCAGAATAACCATTTTCGAAAGGAATATTGTCTAAATGATCAAGGAGTTCAGTATTCTCAACAGCTATAGCATAAACTTTTCATAGAATCATTATAAAATTATTTTGTTTTGTAAATAGTATAGTGATAGACAGGGGAACCAAATTATTACACAAAATTAAATCTTTAAAGTTTGTGATATATTTTGGGCTATTGAAAGGGGTTGAGGCATTGAATTCAAATAAGTTTACCTATAAAACGTACGCATTACCTATACG